GGAAATACTTCCATGGAAATGTGCGTCCTCTCGGCAAACAGTTATGAGTGCCCTTTGAGCCATGACAAGTGGTCGGGACTATCACTTCTGCTTTCAGCAAACCCCAAGAGAAAATATGATCCCACAGATCAAGTACTGAGACCTGGCCTTAAATCTATTCATTCCTGGGGCCAGTGTTAGTGTAGGAGGAGGTCTGGGAGGTTAAAGACAGACTCCTCAGACAGACCCACAAAGTTGGGTCAGTGGAGGCAGGAACATATCCACAACCTTTACCAAACAAACAGCTTTCACACCAGGCTGGGGGCATCACGGGCACTGAATTAAAGACTCACTAGACCAAGGTATTTGTTGTGCTTGGCTACGAAGAACAAGAATAGTTTCAGAAGCATGTTAGGGTAGAGATTTTGTCACAGTAAGTCAAAAGTTGGCTTCGAGGTGAATCGGAAACAGTAAGTGAAACTGTCAGTCTCATTCCCAGAAGGACAGTCATGAGGATGGGGGATGACATTTCAAGGGTAGTGTTTTTATTCATTTTCACGAGAAAGACAGGAGCGCAATTTTAAAGGGGGAAGGATATGACCCCTTTTATGTGCCCCCATCATATTGTTAGCTTTTTGAATTCATTACTCATTCAATAATTTTCTTTTTATTGAGCACCAACTGTATGTGAGGAATAGCATCGATGCCAGGAATACTTAGGTGAACAAAACGGGTAAAGCCCCTCCGCTCAAGGAGATTGGGTTACCCGAACTTGATTCTTAAACAAACTCCTTAAATTTCTAGGAGAAAGGCTCCCTGAGCTCCTCAGAGTCCGGCCAGGGCGTGTGTGTGCTGTGCCTGTGAACGCGGCACGTGGTGATTTGGCCTGGTGTGTTAGGTGATCCGGCCCGGGGCCTCCTATACACCTGGCTCCTCCTGCAGGACAAGGACTGAGTCTCGTCTTTGCATCCTCAGCCCGGCAAAGTGTGGGCTGGGGAGAGGAAGACCAAACCTAGGAAATGCGTCAACTCCACCCAAGAGGATTTACATTCGCTTGCTCGTCTTTAACCCCAGAAGGCTGCTCGTGGGTGAAGCCTGGTGCCCAAAGTCCCAGAGAAGCGTGGGTCTGGGCAGAGCTGAGAGAAGGACCCTGATCTCCTGATGACGACTCTGGTGCTTGATTACAAGCACACTGCCAACTGAACGTCTTCATTTTAAATACATGACTATTGCTAGAAGATTCTTTTTGTGTCGTGCCTGAAAGATTAGAGAGATCATGGTAGGAATAAGAAGATACTTAGAAGAGGGGAGCCTGGGTGGTTCAGTCGTTAAGCGTCTGCCTTCAGCTCAGGTCATGATCCCAGCGTCCTGGGATCGAGCCCTATGTCAGGCTCCCTGCTCAGCGGGGAGCACTTCTGGCCCTCCTCCCTTTTATGGTCTCTCTCTCAAGTAAATAAATAAAAATCCCCATTTAAAAAAAAAAAGAGAGAAGATACTTAGAGATACTTCAGGAATTTTTCTCAATGAAATGTGATGAGCTATCACAGTTGACTGAAATCACAAAATCCTCCGGATCCACCCGGAAAGTAATCTTTCCTTCCTCCTTATCCCGACAACCACCCCAAGGAACAGCCAAGTCTTCACTTCTTGGAATCTGGGTTCAGACTGGTGGGGCCTGAGGGCGAGCGGAGCAAATGCTGAGCTCACACTGCCCCCTGCTGGCCGCTCTCCCCCTAACAAGGAGCACATACTTTGCAACTTCTTTTGCTCCCACTCCAGTAGAAAAAGAAAAACAACAGAATGCCCCCACAAAAGTCAAATGTCTTTATTTCATATAAAAAAAATTTGTACAGTTTTAGTTCCTATGTTTAAGAAAAAAATCCCTAAAACTGCCATTATGTTTAGATCCACTGCAAACTGTAAAAACAAGCTTTTTATATATTAAAAAAAAATTTACATTTTACAACTTTCTACATGCATGCACAAGGTCTCTGTAACCCCCCCCCAAAAAAAGAAGAAGAAGAAGAAAGAAAAGAAAAAGAAAAAAATTAAAAAGAAAAAGAAGAAAAGAAATCTAGATTCAACAGTGGCAAATTCTACATTTACAATCTCACTTGGAGGGGACCCAAAACAAGCCCCCTTCCTTTCGCGCACAGAAGAACAAATCACGACAATCACACACCAGGACCGAATCCATCAGCAGATGCTGCCCTGGGGGAAGGGCAGGGGAAAGAGCAGACAGACAGACAGACGGACAGACAGCACGGAGGGGCGAGGGAGCTCCTCGGGCCCCACAGAGGAGAGAAGCAGACTCTGGGAAGGGGTGTTTCTGGTGAGAAGGTTCTGGGGGGGTCCCAAAGCCTCTTCACAGGTACCATGGCGGGATTTGCAACAGGAATGCGGAGCAAAAAATGAAAGGCTCAAATGGCACGGGCATGGGGAGAGACGAAGGATCAGAAAGAAATAAGCGAGAGTCAACGGAGCGTGAAGGGTCGTGTAAGAGAAGGGGGGCCAGTGGGGACGCGGCAGTGTGACGAGGTAGGTGAAGGCCTGAGGTGCAACATCCCCGGGGCGCCCCAAGGTGATGACAGGAAGGCCTGGTGGGGAGGAGCTAGGACGCTGTGGAGTCACAGAGAGACCCAGCCACACGTCCGGTGTCCTGGGGGAGTGGTGGGGGGGGGCCACAGGTAGGTGCGCCCCCACAGGAGAAGAGTAAGGGAACCCAGCGCGTGGCGGGACCGGCGGAGCAGGGGGGACAGTGCGCGGAGGGCCTGGGCCCGCGGCGCGCCCCGCAGCAGTTCACAGCATGAAGACAACTCCCCGTGCAGAAGAAGCAAAGACACACACACCCAGACACTTGACAACTCATCCTGACGTTTTACAAAATAATAATAATTATAATAATCATCAAAGAAAACAAAGATACCACAGTTCTGACGCAAAGGACCAAAACATTACCGTTCTCAGTCACAGCCCTTAGTGCTTAGAGAGTTGGGGGGAAAGTTTGCTTTTGTTTTAGGAAAAAGGAATGAAAAAATCACAGTGATTAAAAACATGGCAGGTTCTGAAAATAAAACACTCCCCCGCCCCTAACGTAGGGCCGCAACGAAGATCCCAAATACTTTCCATCTGCCCGCCCCGACCCGGTCCTTCTGTCACACCACACCCCGCTCCTGCCCACCATCCAAGCCCCATTTTCCAGGATAGTGAGGTATTTAGAAATGTGACCCAGGAGGGACTCCTCTGAAACCAGGTCCTTGAGGAGAAGAAAAGATACCTTCCCACGACCCCCAGGATAGGATGCATTTCCCTCAGGCACTGCCTAAGTCAGCCCCCCAACCAACACCTGCGGGGATCAGGCTCGGCACAAACTGAAGAGCCCTTCTCTAGGAAGTGGTGGGTGGACAGATGTGCTTTTTCAGAGAGAACAAGGGGAGAAAGGCCATCACAAGGCTCCATTACACCCAGGCCGCCCCTACACAGACAGGAAGCCTCCCTGGTCAAACACCAGTGGGGATCAGAGCTCAGGGGGCGCTCTGCGTGGCAAGAACCAGTGAGCCCGCCAGAAGATGGGCCTGAGAGGGGGCTCAGTGAGTTCCTCAGAGGCCTGGCCCCGCGGCACACTCCAGCCCAGCGGCGAATGGCCCTCCCCGTGGACGCCGGCTGGAGGTTCCAGTTCCCTCGGCTAAAACTACATAAATGAAACACGTCTGAGCGAAAGGCTCAGACGCACACTGAAAATATGTCTTAGAAGGCCAGTGAATTTTGCTCAAAACGAGACCTAAACTCTGGAGAATTCAGATTGGGTGTAGAGGCTACAGAAGCCCAACAGGGTGAGGGACAGATACCCTTGAAGGCGGTAATCCTGGCCCCTCACCCCAGCACTGAAGGAGACGAGCGCCCAGAGAACCAGGCAGGGAGACAGGAGGGGACCCTGGCCAGCCAAGGAAAAGAGACCCCTGAGGCAAAGAAGTGGGCTTAAGGCAGGGGACGAGGGGACTACTGGCTCCCCCCAAAACAAGATGAGGCAACAGGTCCCTGGCGCTGAGCACCCACACACACGGGGGAGGGGGCGGGATGTTGGTGTCAGACCTCAGGGGTCGGGTCATGGTCTGCAAGCCTCTGGGCTGGCGCCTTGTCTACTTGCCGTCCTTCAGCAGGAAGGGGAAACCTGCCCCAGCAAGGCGGGAACAGAAGTACAGGCAGGTTCGGAGGGCAGGGATCCGTGATGTTCCCCGGGGTCTCTCCCATCCTTCCCTCAGAGGCTGCCCAGGGTGGACCCAGTGAGGGAAGGCACTGTCCCACATGGCCCAGGAAACATGGTCACAGAGGGCTTCTGCCTCCGTTTGCCTGTGGTCACAGACCATTCAACTCAGAAACAGAAGGTAGAGACTCTGGAGTGAAGGGCAGGATCTTCCCTCGCTCTGAATGTGTGTGGATGTGCAGGGGAGGCTCTCACAGCTGAAGCCAGTGACCGTGGCGGGGAGACCCCTGACTCGGGCCGTGTGGGGGAGAGGCAGGGGTATCCTGCCCCAAGAACTCAGCGTTTGTACCGGGCGGGCTGAACGGGCAGAAAGAGTGGATAACCCACCATCTGGAGAAGTTTGGCACCGTGGCTCTCTGGAGTCATGTCTGTGCCCCGGGGAAACCCTGTTGGGGCCACAGTTGGAAATTGCTATGAGAACCTGGTTCAAGGGTGGTGGGGGCTCAGGGGGTACCCACCCCCTCTCGGAAGAGACCGCCATCCATCTGGGAGGGAGAGGGGGAGAGGCACGGCTTCCTGCAGGATGACACCAAGTGAGGGCTGGGGAGAGAGAGCGAGCTTCCCAGGCTCTGCTGACGCAGGTGGCCTCTTGAGGCTCATGTGGGGCAACTAAGGAGGAGGGGAGCAGACGGGTGGGGGAGTCAATTCAAGTAAAAGTAAACGGGGGCAGGAGGCCGAAGGGCGGCGGGAGACGAGAGCCGAGCCCTCCCCCGCCCGCAGGAGGCCCGCAACCCCCCCTGCCGCCGCCGCCGCTCGGTCACACCGAGGTCTCAGACTGCAGCCTCATGACAAACTTGTGCGACTTGGGATCCACAAACTCCTCGGAGAGTTTGAAGAAGGGGACCTTCTTGGTGCTCACCACCAGGCTGAAGTCCTGGCGTTTTAAGAGGAAAACGATGCCGTCCTTGAGCCCGTTGGTCACCGGCTCCTCGCTCACCAGCGTCCACTGTTTGGCCAGCCAGCGTTCCTTGTGGTACTGGATGGTGGGTCCGGCCGCCAGGTACCGCTCCAGGAAGGCCTGAGGAGGGGCCAGGGGCTGCGTGGGCATCTCTCCCACCCACCTGCCACCCGCGCCCCCTGGGGGCACAGCTTCCAGAGACAACCAAGGTGTGCCCCAGCTCACGCTCTGCTTCCACACCATCTAGAACATTAGAGCAGAAAGGGGCTGGGCTCCTGCTTCAGACCCTTGTTGTAAACATGGGGAAGCGGAGCCCACAGAGGAGGGGGGCGCCCCAGGGTCGGGGCCTGCGCCCCAGCACTTTCCCGGCCGCAGGCTAAGACCGCGAGCCCTCCCTCATTCTTGCTTCCCCTGCATTCGGCTCTCACGGAGGCTGTCACCCTGCTCACCAAGGGCGGTTGGGGACGCAATTCTAGGAGGCTGACAATAAAGCTGAGGGGAGGGTAATAGCTCGAAATGAGCACAAAGAACACTCGGTGGCGGTGAAGGGGAACAGGGGGGACTCGGTGTGGGAACAGCAGAGCCCTTGCAGATATGGGAGTCAGGTCTCAGCCATTCCCAGACCCACCTGCCCCTGCCCCTCACCGCCTGGGAACTTGACTCCAAGCAGAGGCGGTGGGTAGGGCAGGGATGGGAGAAGAGACCACAAAGCAGACGAGGGCAGGGCTGCAGGGCTGGGTGCAGCGAGCCCCATGGCAAGGAAGGCCGGGAGCAGGGAGAGGCGGGATGCTGGCAGCAGAGTGGGCCTACCTTGGGCGTCATGTCGTGAGTGATGCAGAACTCGAGGTGCTGCAGGATGCTCTCCATGGTGTGGTAAGGCTGCTGCTTGGTGGTGCGAAGGTACTTCTGCATGGCACGGGCCATGGAGGCGAAGATGGCCTGGGCTGCCTCCCGGGGGTCCATCACCTCCCTCGGGTTCTTCTGCTCCTCTTCCTGCAGCCGCTTAATGTGAGTGAAGGCCTCCTCCACCGCCACCACAAGCCTGGGGGACAGGGGGGGCCTGGACCACATGCCCACCTCCCATCTTTCCCTCAGCTCCAGCCCTCCAGCAACCTGAGTGAGGTCAGGCCTCGGCACCCCCCCCCAAAACACCACAAACCCACCTGGAGCCAAGGGTTGGGCTATGGGGGCTGTGTGCGTGGGGGGGGGGGTGCATATGCACGGTGCAATAGGGGTAGAGGGAGCAAGGCAGGAGACGGCTGTAGAGTTACAGGAGCCGAGCTCAGGTACTCCAGTGTCAAAGCCAGAGACAGTTAGGGCCCATGCTCTGGGAAAGAGCTGCACCACCTCGCGTGCAGACGCCATCCTACCTGAGACCCCCAAATCACGCTTCGCTGGCTGACAAACTACCAGACGAGCACAGAGCATGGACAACGTTAACATCTGTCTGGGGGGTGGGTTTGCAAGGAACTAACTACAAACCAAGAAGAAAAAGGCAAGAACACTAGAGCAAAATGGCAGAGGTGAGCCAAACATTCACAAGAGACCTGGATGGCTGCAGACACCATAAGCCCTCACCGGCTGGCCATCAAAAACGTTCGTGCAGCACTACTCATCAAGACAGGCAAAGAAGGAAGAGAACTGGAATCCAAATACTACTGAGGGGGTGGGAGTCACCCATGAACCCCCTCGCCGCAACAAGATGCCACACACTGGATCAGAGGCAGCAGGGGTGAGTCTCAAAAACGGTGTTAAGGGGGAAGCAGGGAAAAGAAGTCAATTTACATTAAACGCATACAGACACACAGTGGCGTCTGGAGACCCAGGAACCTGGAGCCTGGGGTAACTGAGGGTGGGATTCTGGGCTAAGTAGATTGTGGCTCGTGTGCGGCTACGGTTCTCTGTTTATTCTTGTGCTTCCATGCCTCGGTGCAGCTCCTGATAAAACCCTTTTATCTCGGGTGAACCAAGGGAAAAGCTTTCTCCTGGTGACAACCAAGTAATAGGGAAAGGAAAAATCCACTACGGGCCAAGAATGGCGTTGGCAGCCCAGGAGATCCAAAAACCCTGCTTGGGGTAGAAGATGAAGGGCATGTGTGGCATCGCTGGGTTCCTTCCCACCTGGGCCATTTCTGAGAGAACCGGAGACATGCTGGAATGTCAAAGAAATGGATTGCTGGGGGCGCCTGGGTGGCTCAGTCAGTGAAGCGTCTGCCTTCGGCTCAGGTGATGATCCCAGAGTCCTGGGATCGAGTCCCGCATCAGGCTCCCTGCTCAGCGGGGAGCCTGCTTCTCCCTGTCCCTCTGCCCCTCTGCTCATGCTCTCTCTCTCTCAAATAAATAAAATCTTAAAAAAAAAAAAATGGCATTGCTGGGACACCAGCCTCATGTCAGGACAGGGGAAGGGATAACTTCCTCCCTTAAAGCCTAGAGACCACGTGAGGAGGGGCGGAGGGCAAGGTGGATGGTCAAATGCCAGGGCCCTCTTCTGTTGGAAGTCCCATGGAAATCCCAACACACCACGGTGGGACGTGGCAGCGGCAGGCACGAAGAAAGACTCTTCAAGCATGACTTAAGTGTACATAATAATGTGAACAGGAAAAAAGGAGTGAAGACAATATTTAAGAATGTACCAAGATATGAGAGCCAGAACCTCATTTTTTGCAGGTAAAAAGGTGCCATCAGCTGAGCAGGCCTCCAAGAGCTACTGGTAGGAGGCCCAGTCCAGCCTCAGTCCCCACTGCTGCAGGCGAGGCTCACATGGTTTGCCGGGTCCCTGCTCCATGGTGGGAGGCAGAATTCCAAGACGCCCCGTTCACCTCCAGCAGGTTCCCGGCTCCTGGCTATTCAGTTCACTCCGTACGTTTTGCACATATAATTCAAATGCCGAGTCGGTTGACTTGGACATTATAAAACAAGATGACGACTCTAACCAGCCTGATCTTATCACGTGAGCTCTTTAAATGCAGAGTTTTCTCCAGAGAGAAAGAATAGAAAGAACAGGTCAGAGGAAAATTCGAACTACCATATCCTGACTGCCCATGAGGCCAGGTGACAAGGAACTGATTCCAATGACCACTGAGCTTGGAAGAGGACCCAGGCTCAGGGGGGTGTGGTCTTGTTTTTGGCCTTGACACCGACTGAGGGCCTGACCCACGGGACTGTGGGCTGGGAAGCGTGCACTGGTTTCTGCGCTCAGCTTATGGAATTTGTCCTGGCAGCCACAGGACACGGATGCTCACAGAGCACCCCATCGTGACAGGCACACAGGCCTGCTGGTCTTCCTCTCCAGGCCGGTCCACACCCAGCAGGGCCCCCAGGCTCCCCGGGGCCGTCCACACCCAGCAGGGCCCCCAGGCTCCCCCGGGGCCGGCCTCACCCAGCAGGGCCCCCAGGCTCCCCCAGCCCGTCCACACCCAGCAGGGCCCCCAGGCTCCCC